AGCATTTGGAAACTCGGGCACTGCCCGAGGGCCCAGAGTCAGTAGGGGGCCCCATGAGATGCCCCTGGTACCTTTTTCATAGGCTTTTTTGAGTTTGGGCAAGGACACAGGGGCCCATGATCCCTTATTGCCCGGGGGCCCCATGAGTTGTCAGTCCGCCCCTGTTCATACACATACTATTTAGACAGGAACCAATTAACCTACCAGCATGTCCTTGGAGTGTGGAAGGAAACTCACACAAGCAGAACATGCAAGCTCCAGGCAGTTGATGCTGTGGTTGGGATTTGAACCAACAACCCTAGTGCTGCCAGGCAGAAGTAACCATTTAGCCTCTGTGCTGCCCTAAAAGTTATTAACTCACATCTGACCATGTCACTGAACCATCGTTATGGTCCTTCGCTCTCCTTTACACTTATAATATTATACATGCAGCAGTTCTCGAATAAAAACATGCTCAGCTATAAAGTGATCTGTGACCAGCATATGGTACAGTTCTATTTTTGTGCCTGCAGTATTTTGCAACCACTGCTCATGTTTTTTCAATACCTTGTAGTATGTCAGAGAGGATAAATTGATGTAAAGAGACCCTGTCACCAGCTTCTCTATAGTTCCATGGACTAACTTACTTGTAATGAAGTGTGTCCTGCATTATGCAGGCAGTTGGATCATGTAGCAATCTTCTGTGCAGGGATACCCTGTCCTTTCTGCTCTTGAACTTCCAGAATTGCGGTAGTTAAAGCTTATAGTGGAACTTTGGGTAAAGATTAAAAATGGGTGGACAGGCAGGATTTTTTAATGCAGAAGAGACATGCTTTGACTCTTTTGCATTAATGCTAGCTATCTGTCTGTCCACCCCTGTACAGTGAGCCACGCATACGCAGCTCAATGTACAAATTCAGCAATGCCAAATTTGGCAGACATCCTGTGCATGAGTGGGAGTGATGTCATCCTCGCCCAGCCAATGACAGCGGTTGGTGTTCAGGACCTGGAAGCCGGCCACCTGAAGATGTCAGCAGCCAGGCGGGGAGTTCCGGGACAGCGCATTGCAGGATCGGAGGTGAGTATAGTTCTGCTTTAACAACAAAAAACTTCTATTTAGGGCTAGGTTCAGACTGAAGCGGTGCGAGTTACATCTGTTTTAAAGTGCTTTTCAGTAAACAGCTACCATGCAATTCATCCATGATTCAGCTGAAATACTAATGGGTTTTGGATACGATTTTGATGCAGCTGCGATCTAGGATCTCTCTCTCTTAAGCTGGTGAGTAACACAGGGTGCACTGCTGAAAAAATGCATTGGAATCGCATTACATCTGAACAGATAAGCATTTCCCATGCCATTTCAATTCCACCACTCCAAAGACGCACACAACCATTTTTCAAAACATGTCTGGACTGCATAGGTGTGAATGCTTCCCATTGGAACTCATTTTATTTCCCATGTCATTCGAATCAATGCGACTTTCAAAAATGGATCAGTGTGAACCAGGGCTAAAACAGAAGTATGGCTAAAGCCTTTTTGGTCACACTTGCAATTGCTTTTTGGTGCTCTCCAGTGACCCAAATTCAGCCAACGGCGGGCTAAAGACTGTTGTCGGCTGACATCACAGAGCTGTTCTGGGCCCTGGAAGAACCCCGACATTAATGTCAGGATCTACCCAGATGCCTGAATGTCAGCTGGCTCAGCCTCTGAGAACTTTATGAGGAAAGAACAGAGGGCGCACAGGCCTAGTGCATTAGCATAAAAAAATGTTTAATAAGAAATAAAGTAGATGTTGTACTCAAAAACGACAATAAAGTCAAGGCACATCATAAAAGAACAGCTGGGTCAACACCGCGCTGAGTAACAGTCCGCAATAGGGAGTGTAGACATCCAATAGGCTGATGCGTTTCAAGGAATTGCCTCTTCCTCAGAGCCACTCAGAGTGGCTCAGAGTGGCTCTGAGGAAGAGGCAAGTCCTTGAAACGCATCAGCCTATCGGATGTCTACACTCCCTATTGCGGACTGTTACTCAGCGCGGTGTTGACCCAGCTGTTCTTTTATGATGTGCCTTGACTATATTGTCATTTGTGAGTACAACATCTACTTTATTTTTTATTAAACATTTTTTATGGTCATGCACTAGGCCTGTGCGCCCTCTGTTTGTTCTTTCCTCCAGTATATTTGGATTCCCCCGGTCTATTTGAAGGCAGCAAGGTGTGCATATTCCAGGACATTCTTAATGTGGTTGTAGCCTGCATCGAGTCCATCCCCAAGCGCAGGAGCATTTGTGTTTGCTGGTTCTGAGAACTTTAGCCACTCCAATCCCCTGCACAGCCTGGTACTCCAGTAAGCCCTGAAGAGGCAGAGTACAGAGCGGTGACTGACAGTCACTGCTCTCTGCTCAGAGTGAACCAGAGAACTGAGTGAGGTTTTTGATCTCTCAGTTCTTGACCTTAGAGCCGATGAGGGACAGCTGCAGCATAACACCAATGCTGCCAAACAGAGATGAGTATGCATTTTTTTTATTATAATCCCACAGTTGTCCATCTAATGCACTTGTCAATAGTCACAAACATTTTTAAATCCATTGTCTTTGCAGAGCTGGATATTACCTTGTAAAGCAGCAGTGACATCATCACTGCGCTGTAAGCCAAGTTCCTAGCAAGCTAGAGAGAATTCTTTTAGGAAAACATCAGTTTAAAAAAAAAAACTGCAGATAAGTTTGCAAAAAAAAAAAGACACAAGTATTTTAAATGCTTACTTGCAGTGTATTTCCCTTTTCATAAATGAATTTTGTTCACTTTTAATGGGCCCTAGAATTTGCTAGACAAATTGACTGCTCCAGGAGTGTATTGAATTTAAAGTAGAACCCCACTGGGTAGACTTCCCTTCACTTCCTGTCCCATAGTCAAAACAGGAAGTTAGAGGAAATCTTTCCAAAGTGAGGGAATCACAGTGTATCACCAGAACTAGTATCAACATTGGAAAATTTCCCCTCTATTACTGTTCTGGGGACAACTCAAAATTTAGGATTTTCTTTACTTTCACTCTTGGAGGTAAACAGGACAAATATAAAGGATGAATTGAACTAACAGGGACACAGTCAGCATTAACAATCTGACAGGTGATCTAATCCCTGTCCATGCTATTAAAAAACAAAACAGAAAACTTGCCTTTAGTTATACTTTAAAGTTGTTCTCGAGGCTGAAGGTTTTTTCTTAACCTCATGCATTCCATGCATAAAGGTAAAAAACCTTCAGTCTGCATCTCCCCCCTCAACCCCACCTAATACTTACCTGAGCCCCATCGGGATCCAGCGATGTGTCTCTCCCGGGTCTCTCCCTCCTCATTGGCTGAGACACAGACACATTGGCTCCCGCTGCTGTCAATCACAGCCAGTGCAGCTTGCTCTGGGGCAGGGGCGTACTGACAACTCATGGGGCCCCCGGGCAATAGGGGATCATGGGGCCCCTGTGTCCTTGCCCAAACTCAAAAAAGCCTGTGAAAAAGGTACCAGGGGCATCTCATGGTGCCCCCTACTGACCCCAGGCCCTCGGGCAGTGCCCGAGTTTCCAAATGGTCAGTCCGCCCCTGCTCTGGGGACACTCAGCAGGGGGGAGAGGCCAAGAGTACCAGTGGGTTCCTGAGGATCGGGGCTGCTCTGTGCAAAACCATTACACAGAGCTGGTAAGTATGACATTGTTATTTTGTAAAACAAATTCTGAACCTTTAATATCACTAAGAATGTCCATACTTCTGTATATTATGTTGACTGAGTAATATATCTTTAATGCAGAACTAAACTCAAAATAATTACCCCTGCTTTAAAGGTCCAAGGCCTCTGTAGCTCCTCACCAGAATCTTGGCCATTTTAATTGGCCGGTGTGGGGTGACATCCCTCCTGCACATGCTCAGGAGTGCAGTCATCCTGGCACACAGGCACTGTGCCAAAATGTAAACTAAGCTGCACATGTGCAGCTTGGTGTACAATCTGCAGAAGACTGGTAGTTTATTTTTTTGCAGTATTATTATTATTATACAGGATTTATACAGCGCCAACAGTTTGCTCAGCACATTAGAAAATAAAGGGAGACAATGCAGCAACAATACAGTTCAATAAAAGAGGGTTAGGAGGGCCCTGCTCCTTGGAGCTTACAATCTAAGAGACATTGCATGTCGACAAGTCGCATAGGTGTCAACAGGGATTTCTTTTTGTTATATTTATCACCACTCTGTGCTAATGCCTGTTCCTGTGGAAGAGAGTTCCACATTTGAATGAACCCCTTTTTGCAGCTGAGAATAAAAACACTTTGATTTTCTTTACAGGGCCCTACCTTGCATAAAATTGGCCCTCCCCATTATCTTTTTTCATTCAAATCTGATTGGAGTGGATGGGAACATTTTGCTAGTAGAAATAGTGTATAGATAGCATGTATTTTATTTTGAGCTGTGTCAAAAAAATGTAAACCACCATATAGTCAACTGTCACCTGTTACATATTGATTTCTATAGAACAAAAGCAACAGTGCCTCCTGCAGGCTGAAAACATAAATACCAACAGGAAAATTCTAATAAATCCAAAGGTTGCCTTCCATGGTTCTAAATACATTTGGGAAAAGGTTAAGATCTGTTATTAAAGGAAGTTGTACAATAAAAAAGAATACATGAGCAGGCTTGTCCACCGTTCAGAAAATGTTCCATAATACATTGTGACATTTTACACTCTGGAGAATATAGAATGACTTGCAAAAATGAATCCTGCCATCCTGCCTAATAGCGTATTGTGTTCTGTAACACTAGCAGGCTCAGGCTGGGAGGCTCAGGTGAGTCAGCAGAAATAGAATGTTTTAATTGGTGTGTGTGCAGTGACAATAGCCACACAGTATAAAAGTCCCCGCAATGCTTGGAAAGTCACATTCAGAAAGTGTTCTTGCTTCAACAGTGATTGAACGGAACCTTCTCTGACCTGAAAAGCTCACTTTAATTCTTCTATCTTCTCCAAGAATAACTCTGCAGCAAGATGAACTCTCAAGTGCGCCAGAACTACAGCCATGACAGTGAAGCCGCTGTTAACCGCATGATCAACCTGAAGATGTATGCATCTTATACCTACCTGTCCTTGGTAAGTCCTACTAACTTTGGTAATTAAATATGACCTATAAGACCCCGTTCACACATGAGTGTTTTTTCAGCTCAAAGCTCGACACTCAAAAACGCTAAATCCCATTATTTACAATGGCCCCTGTTCACACTTGAGCATTTGTCATCTGCAGAAAAATGTCTGTCGCTCAAAAAACTTGTGCTACATTTCAGGGAGATTGGAGCATTTTGTCCCCATAGACTTGAATGGAAGATGCCTGAACAGTGGGAATGAGAATTTTTTTCAAGTGTTTTTTTTTTCAGTTCAAACAGCTATTTCTATTTCTATTGGCCACAGCAAATATGCCTAAATTGAAAAAACCCTGAAAAAACACCTATAATATTTGCAGATCTGCTCAAAAAAACGCTCAAAAACACCTGAAAAAATACACTTGAAAAACGCTCAGCTCAGTGTGAATGCAGCCTGAAGGCATATGGACTTTATTGCTGGAAACTGGTTATACATATGTTTTTGAAATATGGCAATACAAAAATTATATGTTTTCTAAAATACAATCCACATGAAAAGCAAGCTTTTTATCTATTGTAATACTGGCCATACATGTGTCAGTTTTCAAGCTATTTGAACCTCATTGTACCAGATTTCTTAAGAACAACCAAATAGATCATATTACTTACTGCCTCCATTTTAGATCATTTCATGAACGGTTGGTGGTAGGTTGCATTCATCTGCTTATTTTTCCAGCCAAAACTGTTTGACAGTGGTTTAAAATGCCTGAAAGCAATCACATGATTGGACCACATAAGAATTGCAATCGAACAGGCAGACATCTCCCCGAGAATGACAAAATGGAGATTTCTGACCTTAAAAATATTACAAATGAAAAATGGAATTTACCTAACAAAGTAATTTACCTGTAATTTATATCCTGTAAGAAATCAATCCTGTAAACGTAAAATCAGTTTTCTTTCATTAGACAGGACAGTGTAGGATTAAGTTTTTAAATGGTAGATTGAATAAACTACGAATGCAAGCTTTCAGGACAGCTGATGTATACTCTATAAGCAGGTGGAGTGTTGTAAGTGTAGCACTCAGGGGCGGACTGACCATTTGGAAATTCAGGCAGTGCCCGAGGGCCCGGGGTCAATAGGGGGCCCCATGAGATGCCCCTGGTACCTTTTTTATAGGCTTTTGTGAGTTTGGGCAAGGACACAGGGGCCCCATGATCCCCTATTGAGGGCCCGGAGTCAGTAGGGGGCCCATGAGATGCCCCTGGTTCCTTTATCATAGGCTTTTTGAGTTTGGGCAAGGACACAGGGGCCCCATGATCCCCTATTGCCTGGGGGCCCCATGAGTTGTCAGTCCGCCCCTGGTAGCACTTACACCCATAGGAGCACTTGATGTGCTGGGTCCTCTGTTCTTGTGCCCATGATGCAGCTAACAGCTCTGTGCTCTCTGACATACCTGGTTGGGCCGAGGATAAGGATACAGACAGACCTGTGCATATGAATAACCCCAAACACAGCAACACATCCCATATGGAAGAAAAATATATTTGAAATATATTTTAAAAATATTCTTTGAAATGCTGCAATTTTAGCCATATTCTATATACTTAAATATATATATATATATATATATATATATATATATATATACATATATATACTGCATGTTGAAATGTTTTTTTTTACAACATATATGAACAATTTCAAATATACTGTATGTCTTTAAAAATACAAATCTACATTTTTGGAATGCATTTACAAAAATATGTAAAAGTATATGTTAAAATGACTTTTTTATGTTAAAAAAAATCTGAAGAATATATTTAAAAAAATATATATTTTGAAAAATATATATTTTTAAAATATATTCTAGTCGGGTCATATGCTGGCGCTCCTGGCTCCCCTCCCCCAAGTGCCCCCATAGCAAGTAGCTTGCTATGGGGACACTCATGCAGGCTTGCTGATGAGCCACGCTCTGTGTGTTCATAGACACACACTGTGGGTTGGCCCCGCCCCTGCTCCCTCCTCACTGGCTGTGAATGACATTGGCCAATGAGCCAATGAGGGGGGCCAATAAGGGGAGCCAATGAGGAGGGAGGGGAGAGAGAGAGCAGTGATTTTGCTCTTTTGCCCAGCACTGGATTGACATCAGGCTCAGGTAAGTATAAGGGTGGCTGGGGGAGCTGCATACAGGTTTTTTTGTTGTTCAGCTGCGCACCATTCATCCCTGAACCAGTGGAATCACTCGGATCCCCCATCCACATTGATCAGCATGACGCCTACTGTATTCTGACAGCCAACATCAATAGCTATCAGAATACCTGAACAACACCTGGCTGTATCAGATTGGATGCAGCCACTGTTTGACAATTTTCTGCTTGGCTTCTTCTTTAAAAATCTCTTTTAAACAAATCACCTTTTGTTGAGCCAGGAGCACCCAGGGAACAAGTTTTGATCTGTGTATGGCCGGATTTACTATGCAGACCATTACCCCCCTCCTCCTGATTCCTTTATAGGCAGCTTGGCCAGAAAGTAACTGATGGTACTAGTGAAATGGAAGTTTACCAGGTAAAGGTGTTTGCATTCCCGCTACCTCTGGATCAAACAATTGCTCTGGCATGCAGAAAGCTTACTGAGCTTTCCAGAGCTTACTGAAATATATTAAATCCACAAGCTCTGGTATTGTGTGTTTAATAATATATTTTTTAATGAAAAATGACATGTGGGGAGAAGGGGTGTATAATGGAGATTTATGACAACCTTGTCTCTTTGATTTGAAGGCATATTATTTTGACCGTGATGATGTGGCACTACATCATGTGTCTGAGTTCTTCAAGGAAATGAGCAATGAGGAGCGAGAGCACGCTGAGAAGTTCCTTAAGTGCCAGAACAAGCGTGGAGGGCGTGTTCTTCTTCAGGATATCAAGGTGAGATGAAATGGAATGCTGAGGACATCACATTAAAATGATTACTATACTGTATCTCCTTCTAAGTGAGTTATATCACAACACCTGAAATTAGTAATGCTAAAACCCCAAATTTTGTAAAATTTTAAATGTGGTCAGGTTTTATTGCTGTGTATGACTCTAGCAGAAATGAGCCCTGTGATATGAGGACAAAGACATAAAAACCTGTCAGAGGTTCTAATCTTCCTCCTCCTGATGATACCCTGTTAAGGAAGGAAATGAGGCGAAATTCTCCCAAATGTGAACACAGAAGAAACTGAAACTCTAACAACCCTTCTCCATTCTATTGAAAATGGGTTTGGCTAGGGTTTGACATAACATTCTAATGGTCCTTGTGATATTTTATTCCTCAGAAACCTGACCAGGACACTTGGGGAAGCACCCTGGAGGCCATGCAGACAGCTCTGAATCTGGAGAAGAATGTTAACCAGGCTCTGCTGGAATTGCACAATCTGGCAACTGATAGAAAAGATCCCCATGTGAGTAAAAATAACAATACAATTCCAAGCAACTAAATATCAGGTAGTAGTAATATGGAATCCCCTCAAATGTTTTTAAATTAATAATTCCCATTGGTATTGTATTCTGCTTGGCAGTCAGTACTTGAGCCTTGCATAAAGCGTAAGTAATAACAGTTTCCACTGTTTTCACTGTAAATGCCATGGAAATCTTTTTTGATTGAGTTATGAAAGACAAACACTGCAGAAAGTTTGTTATAGAATCCATTTAGCACAGTATGGGTGATGGGCAGTTATCGGTAAACAAACTCCAATACCAAGGGCCCTCCCACCAAGCTGGAACATCTATCTGACCATAATGGACACAAGGAGGTCCAACTTTTAGTTATAAAGGGCATTCCCCAGAACATTGTATACCAGACACTATATGTGAATGAATATTCAATAGTTTACACATGCACTAACCCCCCTTTTCAAAAAATAATCAAATACAATGCTGGAAAGAAAATAAAGCCTGCTGTTTGTGGACTCCTTTTCTCCTATTAAAAGAGCTAGTTGCCTATCATGTTTATTCTTTGGTCTCAAGGTTCTTAGGCTGCATTCACACTTGAGCGTTTTGTAGCTTGAAGTTCCAAAAAAGCTCAAACCTAAAAAATCAATTGTTCTCTATGTTGCCTGTACGCGTGACCAGGTGTGAACAGGCACCATAGAAAACAATAGATTTTTTAAGTTTGAGTTTTTTCGAAGCTTCAAGCTACAAAATGCTCAAGTGTGAATGCAGGCCATAGAGGGAGCAAATATCTTTCCTGCAACCACGGGTTGACAGGGGAGTCCCTCCCATGGAGCCATTGGGTTTTCCTTATGGGGGAAGTTGTCCCTGCCGGGAGAACACAGTGATTATTTAGTGGCTATAACAACTGCTAGCAATAATCACATGTAAAATCCAGCAGGCTGGTTGTACCCAAGTTGATTGATAAATCAACCTGGGTACATTCAGCCTGCTCATACACTGGTCTAGATTCAAACCATCTGTGGCAGGCTCAATAAAGCATGCAACCAGAGGCCAGCCATGGAAACAAAACAGAATGTCTGCTAGTCTGGGGCTTTGAACCTGTTCTGTAAAATTAATGCCCCAGAACTTGCATGCAGTCATAGAATGGCAGGTTTCACTAGAGAATTTGAAGACAGGTATTTGCTTTGCAACAGATACATTATAAAAAACAAATTTGATCATTTTAATAGTTATTCTATTTGTTCCCATTAATGTGGTCAACATATATTCCTAGCACAATGGGGCCACCATAAAGGGATTGCTAAGCTCCTCTACTCTAGAGTCCTGTGCTCACTAGCATTTTCATCATATATTCCTAGGCTCATGGGTTCACCACAGAAAGAGCGTTATTCTTCTCAACACTAGAGTCCTGTGCTCACTATTGTTTTCTCTTTATATTCCTAGGATCGTGGGGCCACCATAAAGGGAAAACTAAGCTCCTCTATTCTAGAGTCCTGTGCTCACTAGTGTTTTCTCCATATATTCCTAGGATCGTGGGGCCACCATAAAGGGAGCACTAAGCGCCTCTATTCTAGAGTCCTGTGCTCACTAGTGTTTTCTCCTTATATCCCTAGGATCATGGGGCCACCATAAAGGGAACACTAAGCTCCTTTATTCAAGAGTCCTGTGCTCACTTTTGTTTTCTCCATATATTCCTAGGATCATGGGTTCACCACAGAGAGAGGGCTATGCTTCTCCACACTAGAGTCCCATGCTCACTTTTGTTTTCTCTTTATATTCCTAGGTTCATGGGTTCACCAAAGAGGGGGCACTAAGCTCCTCTACCCTAGCGTTCTATGCCCACTAGTGTTTTCTCCATATATTCTTAGGATCAGTAAGTTTCACAGTTAGAGGTCCGAGCTTCTCCATGCTAGAGTCCTGTCATTCTCCAAATATTCCTAGGTATATTGAGCCATCACAGGGAGAGGGCCTGAGCTTTTCTACACTAGAGTCCTTGAGCTCATTAGTGTGTTCTCCAAATATACCTTGGTGTGTAGGTCCATCACAGAGAGAGGGCTCTGTTTCTTAGTACTAGGATGCTGCACTCGCTAGAGTGTTCTCCACATATTCCTAGGTATGTAGGGCCATCACAAACAGAAGGACAAGCTTCTTTACACTAGAGTCCTGAGCTCACTAGTGTGGTCTCCATATATTCCTGGGTTTAAAGGGGAGTAAAATCTGCAGCATTTTTATGTTTTCTGGAATACAGCAAAGCTCTCTGTCTGGCCAAGTGTTTCTATGCACTGATGCTGAGCTGTGGTGCATATAAATTAATGAAACATCACTCTGTGACATTTCAAGAGAGTTAAGATAAAAAAAAAAAAAAAGAGTTAAACACTGCCTTGCATTATAAAACCCAAGACACCGCCCTCTGAAGCATGGACACTAGCCAGCACAGGAACACAGATCATTTTCCTGTGCAGGTAGTGTGAACAAGCCATAAATCCCAGCCCACATAAACACTTTAAAAAGCCATTTAATTATGACAACATTACAATTAGGGTTTTATATCCATATATTTGATATGTCGCTAACTTTGGTATCTTATACCCCAAGATATGCGACTTATTGGAGTCTGAGTATCTGAAGGAACACGTGGAACACATTAAGAAGATTGGAGACCACATTACCAACCTGAAGCGGCTGGGTGTCCCCCAGAATGGCATGGGCGAATATCTGTTTGATAAGCACAGCCTGGAGGAGAGCAGCTAAAGTTGTCACCGAGAGTGGACACAACCAGAATACACAACACATTGCAACAAGTCAAGAAATATCACAAGAATAATACTAGCCTTATGTCCTTCTGTGTGACATGTAATATGTGTTGTGATTGTATTGGCAGCCCAGTTAAAATAAAATAGAGTCGCATCTTGAATTATGTTTGTCATAGTGTCATTTATTCATAAAAGGTGTAAAACTGAAGCTGATCTTCAGGTAGGTATAAAACACACCAATTTTTTATATTTGTTATATACACATTAACAATGATTAAAGCTGAAGTCCAGGCAAATTGCTATATGTACTGCTGAAAGAGATAAAGGAGATCTGTCTTTTTTCTGCCAAATAAATTTTTTTCTATCCATCCACTCCTGAGATTTACACAGACAGTGGAGTAAGGTTGATGACCTAATGTTTTTCAAAGGTTTCTATGCAACATAACTAGGGCACCTCTCTGCGCCAGCCTGTGATTGGATTGTGAAGGCATAGTAGCAAATTGATGAGGTTGCCTCTCTGTCCTCTTGTCAGCAGAAGGGCATGCAGCCCAACTGAATGGATCCAAGTGGTGCCCCTCCTTCTAGTGTGATTTCTGCTGTACACAGGATTACAAGAGGTTGATATCAAGTCAAATCCAAGGAGATGCAATAGTTGAATTAAAAAAATCCATATTGCAGCAAGCGATATGTTTTTTTTTTAATAATGTTTTAGAATGTAATGCTAAATGTAGCTAGTATAGGTACCTGGAAAAGAGAAATTTGCAACCAGGCTCAGAGGGAAGTACTAGTATTATGAGCTCCCTAGTCTGCTGTCGAGATTTATCTTGTGCAATCACAGGCTTGGGACATGTAGGCGACCTACCTGCATTCTTTATTGCAGTCAAGAATGGTCAGTTCACCAACCTGGGTGTGCTGTCTTGTAGGCTGTGTAATGCTCAGAACCAGATGGACAGAAATACAGGAGTACCTCGGTTTATAAATTTAATGCGTTCTGTGGGACTTTTCATATTGCAAAAAAATTTGTAAACCGAAACGCATTTTCCCGTAGGAATGCATTGAAAACCAATTAATCCATTCCAGAGGTCAGAAAAAAGTAAAAAAAAAAAATTATTTTATCTGTTCAAAACTCTTTATAAAGTGCACATTAAAGGCATAAATACTGTACAGGGCCATGGTTAAAAATTAATTTGTAAATGCATTGAAAACCAATTAATCAGTTCCGGAGGTCAGAAATAAGTAAAACAAAAAATGTATCTGTTCAAAACTCTTTATAAAGTGCACTTTAAAGGCATAAAGGGACATGATTAAAAATTAATTTGTAAATGCATTGAAAACCAATTAATCCATTCCGGAGGTCAGAAAAAAGTCAAAAAAGTCTTATCTGTTCAAAACTCTTTATAAAGTGCACTTTAAAGGCATAAAGGGACATGATTAAAAATTAATTTGTAAAATTGAAAACCAATTAATCCATTCCGGAGGTCAGAAAAAAGTCAAAAAAGTCTTATCTGTTCAAAAAAACTCTTTATAAAGTGCACTTTAAAGGCATAGTACTGTACAATTTAAAAAAAAAATTGCAAATGCATTGAAAACCAATTAATCAATTTGTATTGCAAAAAAAAATCATAAACCGAGGCATTATTTTCAATGGATTTTCATTCGTAAACCGAAAATTACATTAACTGAGGCATTCGTAAATTGAGATACGCCTGTACAATTGCTTTGGAAAGATCTTCACTGTGTGGCTAACTCAACCTTTTCACCAAAAGTCTCCTGGTTGTACTGTCTTCAGATTTAAAAGGAAAGTTATTTTTTAATAATACAAAATGCCCTATGTATACATTTGCAAACTTATTTTTAAAGTCTTTGAAAAGACTTTACTGTTTTGGCTGCAGTAAAGTACTGAAAGTGGAAAATCTAAAATGTTGAGTTGTTACTAGAACAGGATTAATCTTCCAACAGGGGTCTAAAATAGACTTTTGTGACATTTTGTCTCACTTCCTATTGTGTCTATGAAATAGAAAGTGAAGGAAAATCTCCACAACATTATATAGAAAAAAAAAGGTATTTCAACCCTTCCCTGGTTTATCCAGAACTAAAAGAATTTAACTTTAGATATAGCATAATAAAGGTGGGATTTTTTTTAATGATAAAAGGTACCATGTAGATGTTGCTATTATTATTTTACAGGATTTATATAGCGCCAACAGCTGTTGCTATTATTATAGTCGCTGCTCCTGATCATCAAAAGTAATAGTGGGTTAAAAGTGAGATATTTCTAGTTAGTATCAGTTACCCAGCACCATACACGGCCAGGTTGTGGACTTCAGTATAATTAGAGTAGTCTAAAATATCGCCAGCTTTTTCCTGTCTGTGAAGCATCACAAGGACACATGGTAGGGCTTGTATGTATATTTACAAATTGTAAATACTATCTGGCATGTTTCCCCGCTGTTGCTTGCTGGCACATGGCTTATTAGGAGCCTTTGTCTATACAAATTACATTGTTGGTACATAGGTTATCTTGGTAAGTGTCTGTTAAAGTGAATATATGCTTTTCCCACAGGGCAGTTCAACAAGTTCACTTAGGCTTCATGTGCATGAGCCTACTCTGAAAATGCAAATTGCTGTAAAAATGCGGTACTGCAGCTCCTAAACTTCTAAACTGGACACATAGGCTTTTATGGAGTTGAGTTTAGTAGTTTTGGTCAAAAAAATGCCAAAAGCTCCTAAACTCAAGTTTAGGAGCTGCTCATGCACATGAAGCCTTAGGCTCCATGTACAGAAGCCTACCCTGACCGCCGGCTGTGGGAAAATGCAAATCGCGACAAAACTGTGACAAAATGCGTCAACTGCGGTACTGTGATTTTGCCACAATTTGTGGTTTCCCACGTTCGCAGGTCAAAACGTTCCTTTTCTAAACACGATTCTTCTGCGTTCAGGAGAGGGCGGTTTAACCTCACCTAAATGTGGCAGCTCCCAAACTCTGCAAAAAGCCTATGTGTACATAAACACACAGCTTTTATGGAGTTGAGTTTAGTAGCTGTCAGGGAATGGGAAGATCGCCTCGGCGATCAAATCTGCACATGCGTAGAATCCTGACAAGACATACAGGCAGGCAGGCACTAGGACCCAGGCGCGCCTGTCACCGATGACGGCGCCGGGCAGGCACTAGGACTCAGGAGCGCCTGTCAGGAGTTGGGCGGCCTATTTAAACCCAGTTCTTGCAATGCTCAAGTGCCGTATGGTCTTACCTGTTACCTGTGTTCCTGTTTGATCCAGTGTTCCTGAATACCTTGTTGCCGACCCAGCCTGTTCCTGATACTGCTGTCTTCTCCTGCTCTGATCCCTGGCTTGTCTGACCATTCTCCTGCTTAACCCTGCACGTTCTGATCTCCTGTTAACGAACCCGGCTTGTGACCAGTTTATTCCTCTGCCTGCTGACTTGTACCACGCTGCCACCATTGTTACCGACCCAGCCTGCCTGACGCTGCTCTTGTGACCTCCTCGCATCAGACTCTCACCTGCTATACACCTCCAACGGTGCTTCTACCACAGCTGGGTGAACTCAAGGGCCGCGACCTGGTCTCGGCCTGCTCCAAGTCCATCCCCACCATCAGGGGCCCTGGTGAACAAGCAGGTAGGGACTTAGATTCCGCGCCTTGGGGGAATCCGGTCTGTGGAGTGCTAGAGGCTACCGCTGTAGGATCCCTGACAGAACCATACGGCCATGACAGAGTCTGGAGGAGGACCTTCACCCTGGGAAGAGATGTGCCAACATCTGGCAGCACTCACACGAGCGGTGAAGACCCTGGAAGAGGGATACAAGCACCTGGAGGGACAGGTTCAGAGCCTGGCCGCACCAACACCCACAACATTGGGCTCAGTGGGAACACCTCCCGCCACGGGTTCAGCAGGGCCTTCCACTGGAGCAGCATTTACAATTCCTCCGCCAGAACCAAGAGTACCGACCCCTGAGCGGTTCAGTGGGGATCGAGGGAAGTTCAGGGCCTTCCAAAACTCCTGCCAGCTATACTTTGACCTGCAACCCCGGACCTTCTCTTCAGAATCGGTGAAGGTGGGATTTGTTATATCCCTGTTGCAGGGCGAACCTCAGGGATGGGCCCATTGCCTGATGGAGGCCCACCACCCACATTTGAACACTGTGGCCACCTTCTTTAAGGCAATGGCACAGCTGTACGATGACCCGCATCGAGCTGCCTCGGCTGAGGCAGCCCTCTATTCTCTACAACAGGGACGCCGGGCTGCAGAGGATTATGCTGCGGAGTTTAGGCGCTGGAGTGGAGATACACAATGGAACGACGCAGCCTTGTGCCACCAGTTCCGGTTGGGACTGTCGGAACCACTGAAGGACGAGTTGGCAAGAATAGGGGTTCCAGACTCCTTGGAAGGTCTAATAGATCGTGCGATCCAAATCGATCGCAGACTGCGGGAAAGGAGACAGGAGAAGTCCAGCCAGGGGCAAAGTACCTCATGGATGCTGCCAAGAGTACCAGTCATGCCAAGGGTCAGTGTCGGCAATCGGGGCCCAGAGCCGTCAGAGGGAGCCGAACCTATGCAACTCGGCTTGATGCGGCCTTCCCTTTCTACTGAGGAACGACAGAGGCGTCGGGCAAACAACCTGTGTCTGTACTGCGGAGCAGCGGGTCATATGGTGCGCTCCTGTCCGGAGAAATACTGTAAGTCCTCTATTTTCTCTAATATATCTACTGTGTGCACAGGCAACCCCACTCACTTGGCTGTACCTGTGTCTTTTCAGCTCCCAGGAGGAAGCATACAGGTGACGGCTATTATTGACTCCGGGGCATGTAGCTGCTTTGTTGATCTCAGTTTTGCTACCCAGCATCAGATACCGTTACTCACCAAAGAACATGGGTTGAATATTTTCTTGGCAGATGGGTTTCAAATAAAATCGGGGACGGTAGATCGGGAGACTCCTCCCATACACACCACAGTGGAGGGACATCACCAGGAGTTCCT